ATGACGACAAATTTCCAATTCCATAATTACTTAATGCAGAATGCAATGATGGGTATTCTTTTTATATTAATATCTTATTAATTGTGCATACTTAGTAAGATTTATGAATAATAAGAACTTCTGAAATGCTCTGTATGTGATTCATGAATTTCGGATAATTGTTACTCTTCTACTTCACCAATAATAATTTAAGTGTCTTTTTTATAATGCCAATCTCCTGTGCATCCGAATTTTCATTATGTATTCAAATAAAATTGTGTAACTTATATTTCATAATATCCTTCTTGTGTATGAGGACATTAGTGTAATGAAAAAAGCTCAAGCCAATGTTCTAATTCTTGCTTCTATTGTTGACCTATTAAAATATGTCTAATTCATGCAATAAGATGTGAATCTGACTTATATAATTATGAAAAAATAAATATGGTTCAAGCAGCGCTAAATAAATTTCTTTGTTAGAGCAATCTATCCATTCAGCGCAATCCTGTGATAAATATGCTAATATGAGGCGGCTTGATTTAGTAATCTTTAAATATTTCTGGACAATTTTTGAGACTTCCCAACATCTTCATGTGGGTCTTTGGAATAACTCTGCTCCCACGTTCCTTTCATATTACTAAATGCACTGATGATTGTAAAAGTTATAACTTTGAAATCTCAAAGCTTAGTTTATAACTGGCTATTGCAAAGTGTTAAATTATCTACCATATTTCACGAATTTGACCAGAAGTTAGTTTGCTCGCAGTTTCATAGATAACACGAATTTTAAGATCTGTTCTTATTCTTGAGCTGCTTCTGGATCTAGGAGTTACTTGACTTGTGTGCAGAGTACATTTTAGCCAGCTACAAACCATTTACTGCTTGTTGCAACTATTCGGTTTCATATCTTTGAATTGAAGTTAATTTAAGCTACATTTATTGGCATTGTCCTACAGAATTACAAAGATGACCTTCTAGCAGCAACGATCATAACATTCATGATTTGATATCGATGAAATGATTATCTCTATGTAGTATTGGGTTGTAGGCTATGTTAGATAATGCATGACCAACTTCAGCCTCCTTTTTCGTGCTTGAAGAATAAAGCCTATTAAGATAGTTTCCCTGCTGATATTATATTACGGAAATAGGATTATTTTTTATGTAAAATGTATTTGTCTAGCTACAATTTGTCTAATGTAATTTTTATAAGCAGACTAGTAAGGCTCTTTTCCTATATATTTGATATCTATTCGTATCTAAACATTAGTTCTAACAAGCATGAAATTTTAGGTGCTATATCTTCTTTATAATGAAGATTTAAACCTTGTCTTCCAGCCTAAGGCTCTTGATTCAAATGCCCAGAAGATTGCAATTGAAAATTCATAACATCTTCATTGCTTTGATGTTGACAATAGTAAATGTTTCTTTTATTCGACAGATTTATAGAAAAATCCTGTACTTTTATTACACTGATGCTACTATTAAATATCCTGATAAGTGGGCATCATTCACTACTAGCAACGATTGCTCGTGATGCAAACCAGAATTCATTTTTATTGAAGATCTTGAAATTAATGCGCTTCAATAAATTGCATCTTCTAGTTTCGTTGTAGAGCTCAAGCCTTTCAGGTCTCAAATTAATTAAACATCCATCATATTCATATATTCAATTGAATCTACTTGTGCTTGATTGCTCATTAACTTTTATCGAATGCTAGTTCATACAACCAATGCTATATTTCCCTTGATACACTAGTGTTTCTTATTTATAAATTAAGTTGCTGATTTCTTATGAGTAAACGACAATCTTATATGTACACCTTTGTCTGTTCAGGAGCCACTTCTTAAAACTGGCTAACGAGAATTGAACTAATAAAGACTCCTTGAGAAGAGTTCTTAAAATCGGTTTCAAATGTCATAATAGCATAGAGCAATAATCCATAACGTCTCATGTTGCTAATGCTATGAATAATCCAATCAATTCTGTATTGATTGGGTTCAAAATGTCTTTAATGCGAACTAATTCAACAATTGCTCATAATTAATAATGTGAAACTGGAGTTTATCCTTCATTATTAGCATCTGCTGTATAGAAAAAATATTCTCTTGGTAAGGAAAATTGGCAAGCTTGCACAGCCCAAAATTAATTACTAAATCTACGATTAGTGATATCAAGTGCACTACTTGTATCTAAATATAGACGCAGTATAAATCGAGTTGAAAACTTTAACACTAACCATATTATTCTTGTATATGATTATTCATCAACTTTTGATCCAACTTATTCCTTTCTATTTATCAACTCCTGTATGCACTTAGTTAACTCTTACAGCTTTGAAAAATTTGAAGTCATTTGCACCAGGTGTTTTAGACTAGTGGTATATGCAGGCTTCAGTAATGATGGTTGTTATAACTACATCACTTTTTCTTGTATTAACTGCAGTACGGACTATCATTTTTGATTCACCAACTTCATTATCCTACTTGTGCTTCTAATGCCTCATGTAGTCCTTCTTTGTATTCCTCTTATATATATGGACTTTTTATATTGTGATAAAGTATACTCCACCTGACAATAATACTTTTTTGTAGAATATTAATAAAAATGTTTAAAAATTTAGACAAATTTAGACAGTTCTATATTCATGATCAGTAGGTTTTCTTTAACTACTAATGGTGAGTAATGTTCAACCATAGGTTATAATCTTCAACATTATTATTTGATAGTTAACTTAAATTGTTCTAATGAATGTACAACATGATTTGCTAACAACGCTTGCAGATGATGCACTTATTAATATGTTCTTTTTGTATGGATTGCACAATCTTCTACTATTCCTGTTCCATTTAGAACTTAAGTCTTGCAATTTTGAACACTTTTTAATCACCAAGAGTAGTTATATAATACAAATGGAACGCATCCGCAGATGGATGCAGTTCAAATTGAGATGAAGAAGTAAATTAAGTGTTCAAAATATCTCGTCATCTATTACGAATTTCTTTTATCAACGTTTATGCGGGAAATTAGTTAACATTTATAGAAAAGTTAATTATTTCGCTTTTTATCTAATAGTTTGGATTAAAAGTAGAATTTCGTTACATCTTAAAATTGGAGGTTTGAAATCCATCACTTAGAGTAGTTTCTACAATTATAGTAAACCTCTAAATGTAATAATTTCATGATCAATAATTACTCACACTTTTTTATAATTTTTTAGCCTTTACTTAGATTTATTGTTTGATTTTTTCCCTAACTTTGTAGTATTTGACCTGGAAAGGACAATTAGCTTCTAATTAATTTTATTAAAATTCAAATGCCAAAGAATAGATAGAGTTCGAATCTCCTCTCCAATTTCCCTTAGGGAATAACAATGGGACATTGTGCGTCTTTATTTTGTCTTTGTTTTATTCTATGATTATGGACTATAAATCTGCGAATGTTTTGCATTTATTTATAAATACTATTGCAAATAAATTTTCAATTAAAAATTTTTATCACCATTTCTGAAATCCTGTGAGGCGATGTTGATAACTATTCTCCCCAAAAGTAGACCAATATATGAAAGTTGTAATATTCTTCTTTGTAAGAGAAGGCAATATCAATATCATACTATGATTCAGCTCGGAGCTAATAATTATAGAAAATGAAGACGATTTAGAAGTTATAACAGGTGATCGCAAGAAATCTTAAACGTGAATTAGAATTCAGAAATAGATTGGTTAGATGGATAGAATTTGATAGTTGTAGAAACCATGATGAGTACTAAGGTGCAATTGTTTACAGAGATTAATGAGTAGAATCCAATCTTACTTTAAGATATAGCAACACAATTGTGTAAGAAGGATATTATCTTTGAAGATTTAGGAATATTAGTGCCCTTTAATGACAACGAAGAACCATGTCTATCTCAACTGAAATTGATAATTTATTCAGATTTGAAGCAGACCCTATCTAAAAGATTTTGGAAAGGATATAAAGAGACCAGAATTTAGTAATACCAATAGATACTGGTTAGGAACAGGAATACTTAAAGTTAATATCAGCGATGTGTTATTTATTTGAAAGGTTGACAGTTTCTTGATAATCTAACTCTCTTTGCTTCTACATTTTCTAACTTATTGATATATACCTTTCATTAATGCAAAACTAGTGTGAACCTCTGTCAATAAAAATTTTGTGTCTGGTGACATATATATTCATCATAAATTTATTTTATCCTATTTGGACAATTTCAAAATTGGAATTTATAATTCTTAAATGATCCGATTAAGAATCCAATTAAATTCTTCGAAAGATGGAAGAATTAATCTAAAGTTATGAAATGCAAAGCATTTTCAACCTTATAATTAATTATTTTTTAGGGTTATTTTAAGCAAACTGTTAATTATCAAAAAACAATATCATATTGGATTACAGAATTTAATGTAATTAAGATAGAACAAGTGTTATGAGAATTTTAACATATCTTATCTACTTCTCAAGCTTCAGGAAATTTGATTACTAATTTATTTATTGTAGGAATTTAGAAATCCAATAGTCTATAATTTATTAGGAAAACTTACTCATACAATCTTTGTTTTACTTAGTTTTATAAATGCTCTAAAATAATTTTTTTTTAATTATTAAATGTACAACAATCATTCAGTGCAAGGAAAAGTAGATGTCACTCTCATGAGGGCCATTAGAAGTCAACATTCCCTCAGGAAGACTTCTCAAGCGCTAATTGCTCATAAAGAATGACCCTATTTTTTTAATGTTGTTCATTGTAGTTAAGAGGGAATAAAACCATAAAACAGCCATTGTTTAAGAGAATCCTCAATAGCAAATAGTATAAATTAAAGAGACTATGGAGAACAAATGTTTCATTAAAGTAAAGAAATAAGATATGAATTTAGTCAAAGTTGAGTTCAATATGTAGTTATAAAGGCTCTCTTAATAATCGGCTCTAAGCTGAGTCTTATTATATTAGAAGAAGAAAGGGAAATGCTGGTCGAACTTACAATTTTCTAATGGATCTATGGAGATTCTGCACTAATTAACTTTATTTAGAATCTTGAATAAAAAATAGATTAAGGAACAACTTAATAGAAAATTTAGTAAAAATAACTAAGAGATGACTAGTATTGATGAAGAAGTTAAATAAATTATGTCAAAGCTACTGGAGATTAGGGAATAGAAGATATTAAGATTATCATAAGCTCAGATTCATATTCTGTCAAGGGTTAACAGTTTGATTAAGAAAAAGAGAGCAGGGCCAAGTAAATTCTTAGAAGAGGGGAAACTTAGGATTAAGATCTCAAGTTCTCTTATAAGTAAATCCTATATGAGTTATGTAAACAGAGGATACATGTTATCAACTTTATGAAAAGAAAGAATGTAATCTCTAATAAGATATTCAGTAATTGTTTGACTGAAATTGTGAAAATGGGAACCACATCTAACTCTACCATTACACCGCAAGCCCATACAAAAGATGATGACTTTTGAGATTCTTTAGAAGCCTAAGAGGATTAACATTTATTATTTAGGATAACCTAAATGATAAAGCAAGAGATGTAAGATTCTTAATTGCGTCAAGATTTTTTTGAAGATGTTGAGAGAAATGGAACCTTTAAACAATTTGAAGAAATCATTTTTTGACCCCCTACTTTCAATAAGCTTCCATGTCTCCATTGTCCAAATTTTGTCTCAAAATTTTCTGTACCAAAAACCTATTCTTTTAGAACTTAACTCTTAGACGATCGTGTAAAAATAACCATCTGATTTGCTAATACTAAAACTAAAATACATATTAATTTTCGATATCTTCTTTAAATTTAACCTATTTACATTTATTGGTTTCTTTTGAGAATAAAACTAGATGACGAGCACAATCATAATATTACATAGTGATATATTGTTTTATTAAATGATTGCTCAAAAATTCCTCGAGTAATTATGGATTCCTCGTCTTTCTACTCTCTTAAATTATTGCAAATATACTTCGTTAACTGATAGAAGTCAAGCTTTGTCCCTTGATATTTTACATCTGATAAGAATTGAATATTAATTTCTTATGCTTTATCCTTATCCTAGGTTACAATCAAGCGGAAATTGCAAGTTCATGCCTTCTTTGATATGCCATGAAAAGGGAATTGAAAGACTTCTCATAATATTCAGGCTCTTATTGCAAATCCTGAAATTTATATTTAATATTCAGATTGTACTGCTGATTCCTATTATGTCAAACGCAACGGTCTCTTGTGTACCAAAGATTTGCGTACAAAATTTGTACCAATATATCATTATGAACCCTCTCGTGTTTTTAATTAATATGTGGAAACTGAAATTGTTTATTGTAATGATGGCATCTTAGTTAATAGTGATTATAGAGCTAGTAGTATTCAAAACTGTCCACACTTTTCATTAATTTCTACATTCTACATGAAGTCAAAATCTTGACAAATAAACGGAAAACATTATCCTAGATTTATTTCTGTAGATTATCTGTAGTTCATACTATGTATCAGCAGATGGATGCATTTCAACTTGAAAATGCAAATTCTAAGACTGGCTTATGCACAATACTTGACACACTTTGCAAGGATGAAAAATTTATTATCCATCATTAAGCTTTTTGTGTATAATTGGGGTAGCCAGACGTGAAAACATTTGTGATGATTAAGAATAGGCTTAAGTTAGAATTTTGGCAATAGCAACGCAATGTACTTGCAATTGTCGTTTGTCTAAAAGGAATTATGTAAATTTGGATAATGTTCTGATTGCCTTAATGCTTGTAAAGTATCTATTAATATTGAAAATCAGTAAAGAATTTTATAGATTTTTGCGATGCCTACATTGACTGCAATCAAATTCAACTAATTACTAAACTTTTTGTTTCTAATATCAGTTACTTTGTCTTATTGCAGATCAGACATGTTCATATTGTATAACAGCATTTTATCTGTTGTTTAATTAATTGTTAGTAGTTTCAACTTCAATTATCCTTTGTTGCTGCTATTATCTGGTACTTAAATATTCTGGTAAGTTTGCAACTTTGATTGTTTAAAGCATAATTGAACTTTATGCATATCTGTATTCATTTTGAATATAATTCTTCAGATGGGCAATTCTAATTTTTTATGATTGTTTCCTCCAGTGACTTGAAATAATTAAAATTATTCTAATTATAGCGTAAGGAAATTCGATTACTTGAGTCCAGCTATCCTGTTTGAGGCATTATGTTACTTATGAAATTAATACTAAAATTTTAATTTTGTATTTCTTCAATCATAGATTTTATCATCCATTTGAGGAATTCACCTTCTATCATATATCTGAAGACTATACCCGAATAGAAAAAGCATTATTATGCAAGTTGCATAACCAGGCACTTTATATTTGGATGAAATGAAAAAACTTCTTAAAAGTGTCTTAATACTAAAGGTTTTACATTTTCAGATTGTATGCTTGCCTTCAGTTGTGAATGTGGCAAATGTATTGAATAGAATTAATAATTTGATATCAAAAAATTTGCCATCATTCAAAATTATGGAAAAAATATCGTTTTTAAAATGTCTCCTAAAGTAATGAATTAGAATATGACAATAATGCATTCATACGTTGTAAGAAATTTACTATACAGCCAGTACATTTTTTAGTGTCAATGTCGCATATCATTTATTAGTATTCTCTCTTTAATTCCATTTCTAAATTCTGCTAGTTGTAGAAAGTAAATTTCTACAATAGAATATAGCTTATCTTTTGATCACTACCCTTCTTACCATCTGGGTCCTTTGTAATCATTATCAGAGATACTGTTCTGGTTTAAATGAGAATAGCTACAACGTGTTATGATTTAGACAATCTCCTTCATTCTACAATATATGCTTGTAGTCTAATTTAACCTTCATTAAAAAGGTATCATCAATTATATAAATAGACTTAATGGTTTTTGCAGAGCAAAGTCTACCATTGCTTTAAATAATTAAATAAGATGGACACTAGCATGAATACTCATATTTTTTATTTAAATGAATCAAATTCCTTTTTGATATAAAATCAAAAGCAATTCATCTACTAAGTATCATCAAATATCATTTAGCAGCAATATCAATTGCATCTCCTGCGACATATATTGCAATGAATATATTTTATAATGGTCTGACAGAACATTCAAGATCAAATTCTTTGATCGTTTGGTTATGCCACTTCTGCATCAACTTTTATAACTTTGATGGACATTGTAATTGTCTTTTAATTAAGTAATTCAATCCTCAATCCTACTTGATCAAAGTCCTATTTTCATGATAAAACAAACAGGCACTGAAGTTTATCTTTATGCCTCATGTATATATTTTTCTAAATTGAAACTATGCTTCCTCCAATTTGGAACAGTTGATATACCTTGTGAATTCTTTGTTAGGTTAGAAAGTGATTAAGCTCAATGAAATGATGGTTCAACTTTCAATATTGCAATTGAATATCAATCATGATTAATCCATCTAAATAGTTTTTTATTTACCCTCCCAACCAAGAACAATAATAGATGGGAAGAATCTGGATACACTTATTTCAGGAGCAAGTAAGTAATAGAGTGAAAAACAATTAAGATTAAAAAGTCGTGTAATGTTGCTCAAACACTTTGCAAAAAATATATTATTAATCAACATAATACTATAATAGCAATATTTGTCATAAGCACTCTTACATTCCTTATCATTATGACAAATGCCTTGATTAACCAAATTAATTCCAATCAAGGGTATCAGTCTGAAGTCAATAAGATAAAGATCTAGTTATTCCAAGTAATTGAAAAATAGCAACTAGCCATATTTCTACCTTAGATTTTACATTTTATTTGAAGCACAAAGTATATGTAAAACAACAGTTGATGTTCTGGATTGATGATTGAACAAATGCCAAACAGAGATAATTCAAGTAAGACAAAAAAATTCTCTCTTTTTTTTCAATAATGCCAGGTTTCAGTTGACCGTAATTGCTTCCAAATTATTCTGAAAGATCTTATGTCAAGACGACTTCTTACAATCCAGGCACTTCTTTATCGTCCCTTTCAATAATATGTGTTTTCCTGTATTTTTTTGTTGCACCTGACTATTCAACCTAATAAAAAACAAGAAGAATCTGAATTACTACAAATTATTAACATACTCCATTATTTGATGAAAACCATTGTCCTAGGCAGACTTAAGGTGTGAAATATCTCAATGCTCTTAATCCAAATAATTAAGCTAGAGTGGCAAGGTTAATTTAAATTTAAATAAAATGTGAATGTGATTATCTTGACTCTCTTAAATCAAAGGGTTGTAGTTTTAATCAGCATATTAGAAGTTTCAGAAATAATTTCTAACCGAAAAACCACAAAATTTCAATTTTTTCTTAATTTATATTTCTCTCAATAATTACTGCATTTTCAATTCAGAATGATTACTAAGATTATAAAATATGTTTTTCTAATTTAGATTCAGCGAAAATGCGAATTTCTTATTAAATATTAATTTGATCCTAAGATTGGCAACAGGTAATTATATCAATTTAAATACTCTAGTAGATATTATTAAATAGTACCCTACAAAGAAGAAAGTAGGGATGGACCAAATCGCTGAATAAACAATATATCTTGAAAAATAATTTGTCTATTGTTAACAAATTTTTATGGAAAATAAATATATTTTTTTAATACTAATGAAGGCTACATTTTGACCTTGCCTTTAATTAATTTATTTATATTTAACTTTAGATTTCAAAATAGTATTCCTATTATTACAGATATTATTTGTATCAGATGCAGTCTGAAATGCAAAATGTAATATTTAAATGATAAAATAATTAAATATTCTTTGAATGCACACAGGATGGAATCGAAAAAGGGATGCCAGGAGTTATATAATTTAGTGCACATTTCTGAAGTAGAATTTATACTCTTAAATACAGCAAGAGAGACAAGAATTAAAAGACTACAACAATTTATATCAATCAGCCTTAGTGCAGGGAGTCAAAGTAAAACCAACTATTGAAAATATACGAATACAATACTTAGGGATAAAAAACCCTAAAAGATTGCTTGAATGTTTCTTGTACAAAAGTAAAACTGAAATTATGAAATATATACATTTTTATGAATGCATTTAATAAATTCACAATATGGTTCTTTACACTTTATTGAGATTTTAAAATAATTTATGAAAAAATTTATCTGTAAGGATAATTTCTATAATCTAATCTATGGCTTTAAGATTTAACATGAAATTTTTCTAATGAATTGATGGATAATACCCTATGTACAGTAATTCTCCTATTAAATTTTAATGTAAGGGGTAAACGTGAAGTGTGATGTATGGCGATTGCATGATGATAATTTAACTGTTTTTAAGTTAAGATACAAGGTTTTACCTGAATGTCTTTTCTAACAATGTCTGGACAAATTTCCAAATTATGTCTAAATTAAGACTAAATATTTACATTTTATGGTCTTCCACAATAATGAGTACACATCTTCTTAAGACAAATCAAACAAAGGTATTGATCTGCTCCTAATTCTCCATTCTCTACAATGGCAAAATTTACATTTTTGTTTTTGGTAAGGTGAAGATAATACCTTAATAACAATTCTTTGAAGTTCAAAAGAAATTTGTTTATATAATGCTATTTTAAGTCCTTACTTATTCTATCTAGATAATATGGCAGTGACTTTTATTCAATTTATGAAATGATTAGGTTTTCGGTTAAAGCTTGAATTATCGCAGATTGATTAATGTTATTATTAAATATTAAACACAATCCTGATTTTAAATCATTAATGTTATTTTACTTTATCATAAATTGTAATATTAAATTTAAGATTCTAAAAAGGGTCTATTAATCATTTTGAACTACTTCTTCTAAAACTGTAGTTTAATTGCTTTAAAACAGTATTCTTAATAGAGCTAAGACATCTTATAATAATAAATGGGTGTTTTTCAATTTAAATTTGTTTAAATCACTCAGCAATTAAAATAATAAGCTAGAGAATGTCTGTTTATTAGTTTGTTGGTATTTTTAGGGCATCGCATTAATATGTTTATTAATATTTGTATAAGAAGTCAATAAAGCATGATATTATATTTCTTATTTTTCAAATTGCAATTAGCATAAAGAGCAATTGTCGTTACTCATTTCAGGTGGAACTTCTGTAATTTGAATACTAAGTGCTGATCCCATATTTTCAAATTTATTCTAGACCTTTCTCTTCAATAGTTATGATTTACAGGCTCTTTAAGCATCATTTTCAACTTAGGAGGAATTTAAACTAAAGGTTTCGTCAAGTTACCTTGCAAATATTTCATAAATGCTGTTTGATGTTTAAGTTAAATTAAAATTTTATATGAATTATAAACAGATTGAAAAAATACTACTCAAATACTCTTAGAGAGTTTTATTTGTGTTTTTAAAATGTTTATTTCATAAACTTACTAAGTTAATGTAGACAGAATAATCCTCCAATATTTAAGAAATATTTTAAATTAGTCCCAACTCCTGTTAACCTTGTATTTATTCAATAATATTTTGAAGTACTTATTATTCTTGGTCTAAAACAATGGCTTTAAGAATGGCTAACCTCTTATATGTTAATGTTGATTTGTGTTCGTTTATTTGGGATAGTTCATAAGCTAGAGCAGCTCCAAATAACTCAGATTATTTGTCATTTTAGGTTTTCAATTTTTCTGTTATTTATTCTTTTAGTTCTAATACCAATGAAGCAAAAATTGGTTCATATTAAACAGGTTAAGGCGATCTTTTTAATTACAATTATTCATTATCTTAATTTAATTCACAAGAACCCAAAATAATATTTTATAAATCCCAGCTGCTGTCATAACTAAACTTTTTCAAAAGTTCTCGAAGATCATTCACTTGGTAAAATGACTAATCGAAGAAGATTGTTTGGAATAATTTGTTTAAGCCTTTTTAAAAACTCATTTCCAAACATGTCTCCTACACATTAAATCAGATTATAATCAGTTTAAGCAATTCTACAAATAAGAAATTAAGGATCAGATTTGTAACCGAAGAATTTTGCAATTTCTTTATAACTGGAGACAATATCATTTATTCCCAGAGAGCCAAATAAAAAGGCATATAGTTAAATATAAGCTACATCGACCTGTTCAAGTGATACTTCTTTTGGTTTCATTTCTTCCTTATACAATTTCGCTTAGCCCTTCTAGAGTTTTGGAATTCCACACTTTAAAAATACTATGTCACTAGCAAAGTCCTTTTTAACAGGCTCAACAGATCTTATCTAAATTACTCTGGGGCTAGGTTACTAGTTCTTAATAAATCCTCATAGGCCTCTTGGGGGCCATTAAAGTCCATCAAAAATAATGATAGTAAAGTTATAAAGTTCCTATCACAAATCACTAAATTTTACAAATAAGTTTATATTCATATATAAATTAATTCTTGACTGCTTACCATCACCTCTGCAAACGAAAGAAAAAAGTGTAATTTAGAGCTAAAACATCAGATAATTTTATAAAACTTAGATTGGAAGTAACCGATCTTCAACTAGTGATCTATATGAAGAGCATCTTAATATTTAAGACATGCATATTACAATTGAAGTAAAACAGCTATGGATGTTATTTACATTCAGTCCTGAATTTATTGCTCTTTCTATTTTTTATTATCAATAGATGTGCTTGATATCCTCATTTGCAATACTTGTACTTCTTGTACTTTTATAAAAATTAATTGGTACATCTACTTTGTTTAAGGATTCATCACATATGACTACAAACATCTTGTTTTTTATTGTTTAAAAAAAGATCTCACATTGAATTGATCATACTATTTAGACAATAGAAATGCCAAAATCTCTTTTGTACAAACATTTACAATAATGCAAATATTCCATCAATATTTGAATAAAAATACTGAATTTGAGCGTTTCCATGTTTCAATTCCGTTTTTTTAAGCGGAAGCATCACATTATATTTTGTTTTACATTTATTATATATTTATAGCAATGGCTATCAATTTTTTGGTAAAACTGCTAGCATAGCTGAAAGGTGGTTCACTGACTACCTTTTCTGTTTGATAAAATTGAAGAATCTTCTCCATCCTAGAAGGATTCTAAACTGCCAATTTTTGTAGCATTTAATAACATTCCTACGTTAATGAGCTGGATAAAAAGGTGAGTTTAGGTGAAACTGATGGCAAGTTATTCTTTAGCATTCAAAATCAATGATTTAGAATTGTCATTACTCAATTGGGTTGAAAAGGAAAAGAACTTTTGGTAGATGAAAATGAGTTTAGCATAAGAAAGCAGAAAATTTTAATCCACTAAGCAATAGATCTGGAAATTTAAAGAAGCAAATAGATGATCACTATGAGATAGAATTTAATCCGCCAAGCAGAAGGTTTTGTCTTGCAAAACAACAAAATTGGACAGATCATAAAGAAAAAGAAATTGAGGCTTGCTCTCTAGGCTCAGCAATATTAAATTTAGTGTGCATATTAAGGCATATGAATAGAAGGACTTAAAAAAACAATATAATAGTAAAGCAGCACATTAATCAGTATGACTAGAAGAAGATTATTTTGTTAATATCTTATCAAGAGATACTAACTCGATTAATTTATTAAATTTTTAATAATATATATAAAATTTTAAATAATGGCTGAAAAAAATATCAACTTATAAATCATCTAATCTGGAATCAATAGTTTATAACAGAAGCCAACAGACTCTCCTCCATCTTCTCTATTTAGGATTTCTAAATAAAGTATCTTTAAAAGTCTTCATACGAATTCTGAGAAAAAAGGAATATGGAATTAGGAAGAATCAGACACTCCGATGCCAAGAGATATGCATAGGGGTAAAGAAATCGTATATATTCAGAAAGTAGGATATGAAACCTCAATTCATTCAAAAGTTTCAATCATCTATTCCTTAAAATTACAAACCCCAAAAATATATTAAGAAATTTATAATAGCACTTAATTAAAAAATGGAGAGTTGAATTACAGTTGAGAGGGAATTATCTCTAATAAAGGATAATATGAGAAAAAATAGTTGGCTGAAAATACTTGAAGATTACTTAAGATTAAAAGAAGGATCAGTCCAGAAATCAACAACTACAACACAAACAATTAATAAAAGAATAAGTTGCACCCATAATTATCTGCGAGTCTAATGGATTGAGTAGCAATCAATCCAGCAAAAAGTATTAAAGAAGTTATAGCAGCGTCATCAGCATAGGCAAAATTTATTGCTAAGTAACTATTAATAGTTTGTGTTTTTGTTCTTTAGGATTTTTCAGTTATTTTAATTCTTATATGTCGTTCCTACTCATCGATTAGCTAATAAGGTAATTGTCAAAATGGAAAGAAGTCTTAAGATAACTTTAGTGAATTCCATAAACAAATTAGGCTTTACATTTGGATTGATCATAATTGTATAAATGCTCTTAAACCATTAAAGGGTATAAAGTTCATTTTAGTTGAAGTAGGAATTCAAGTAAAATGAACTTAATTCTAGAAGGTTGATTTGCAACGAAGTGGTTAAGAACTGAGCCATACTTGTAAGGCTAGAAATAGAAAAGAATTGCCATACTTGAGGCATGAGAAGATTATCAAGCATACTATTCCTCTACAAAGCTTTGTGTGCAAATAGTAAAAAATCTTTACCTGGTTAAATCATAGAATGAGATTTGATCAACCAAATTCAATATGGAAAATCTTTCGAAAATCTGATACACTCGAATTTTTTGTTGGAGAAATTCCTAAAAGAAAAGATTCCTTATCTATAATAAAATGTGATAGAGCAGAAGATCTGAAAAATGAATAGAATAGGTGAGGCAGCTATAAATAAAAGGATAAAATTGTTATGTATACAAAATATTTAAGGAAAGTGACTCAATGATCACTATTCGAAGTAGCCTAATTTATGTGAAACGAGAAAAGGAAGATTTTTGGAGTAATATTTGTAGATATCATTTGGTAAACTTGCAACAACCTTATCATAGAAGTTGATTTGTCTGGTCTTTAGTAGATTTAATGCTTTTTTTACTCTTTAATTATGATTCTCAGTAACTTTAAACTGTTTCATTCCATCACCTCATTCTTGTATTATGGGCCTGTTATATAGAAACATTTTTGCTTTCAATGATTGGATATTTCTGCAGAATACTTTTATTTTACTATAAAATCTTCATTAATCACTTGAATTTAGCACAGGTATTTCCATTTTCTGATTTGATGAAGTATAGAAGGATTTTTCTACCAAACTACTCAACCATCAAATAGGTCTTACTTGTTCTAAAATTATTTAAAATTCTAACTATGGTTGCGAAAGATCTTATGAATGATAATCTCCACAGATATTTCAGATTAGATTAAATGGTTGTTTTTTTCTCCAAAAAAAGTAGATGTAAAATGCTTGAAGAGGATAATAATGCTTCTGAAGATATTTAATATAATTAATTTTTTGACCCTAAAATATCAAGCCTTATATATAATAAAATAAACAATTTATCATTTGATTTATTAATTGAGTGCTTAAGAATTTAGAGTTCTCATTCTCAGTCAACAACCAAATAGTGATCCCACAAAATTTTCTGTTGTTTGACTCCTTTTTATTAGTAAGGAACAAATAGTTGACCAAAAAAAATTAAATTGCTCCACCTATTAAAAAATCAACATAAAATTTAAATAAGGGTCCTCTAATGTATAAATATATAGCATTTAATGTCTATGGAGGAGTAAATAGATAATATATGGAAAAATTTCGATAATTAAGAGAGTCTGATATATGTTTTCAGTAGTTTACTATCTAAAACACCTTAGAGTGCAATCTTTATAATTGCTTCTCAAGACAAAGATGGGAATTTCTATTCTATAGTTAATGCTTCTTATTTGTATTTAGCAGCTCTCATTTGGAAACAGACTATAAAGTAGTTTTTATTTTAGTAATTTTGTTCTTATTTGGATATTCAAACACTCACAAATTTATTTAAGATTAAATTTTTATAAATGCCTTGTTATGAATTGGATTTTGCATTAACTGTTTATGATAATCATTGACATTTATTATGAGTTTGAAGAACTCAAGAATGCATGTTTGTAATAAATGAAAAATTTTGATGAGCTTAATATTAAACTCCAAAATTTTCTATTTATCATCGATATTGATTGCAATATACATAATAATTTAAAACAGTAAATGGTATTTATGCTGAACTCAAATCCATCATGATATAAGAAGACATTTCCAATGAGTTTAAATATTACAGAAATTCCTAAAATCTCCTTTTTACTCATAGAGGTATTGTTATTTGGACTATCCTGCTAGATGTCTTGTATGATGAGTTCTAGCAGTTAATTAATGTAATTTAGAATTAAAAATAAAAAAATAAATGACATTTTTTTATTCGTATTCAGTTTTGATCTATTCAAGAGCAACCATATATAAGATATATTTATATTCTTAAGACAACCGAAATCTAATATAGATGTATTATATCATTAATTGTCATTTAAAAAGAGCTTTATTTAATTTGTTTTTAGTTCACTTTCTATCTTTGACCTCTTGTTGAGAATTGAACTTTAGACTAACTCTACTGCTATATCTGATGAGAACCTTCTGTCGTCTTAAGCTGGTATTTCAATAATTAAAAGATCTTACAGAAGCAAATAAATAAAAAAATGATATAAATCTCAATTAAAATATCTCAGTATTCAGATAATATCCCAGTATAATAATGTAGTCATAAAAGTAAGAGAACTTAATTTTTTAAATGAGTTTATAGAAACAAACAGCTTCTTCCTTATCAAGTAGAAACTCCCTAATTTTTATTATTTTATTGTCCCAATTTCACAAGCATGATATTACTAACTTATTTTTGGTTAGATAGACCACAACACTATTTCGTAAAGCTTTAAAGATAAAGTAAATTAATTTGACAAACGAATAATCGCAACTTAAGATTTTGTGTAATAGCTCTAAAAAGATGATCAATCAGTTATTCTAATTCAACCTTTTCTTTCTTAAATCCTTTTGTCTTTTTAACTTTAATTTTCTACTAGACTAAGAGCAACAGATTGAATTAAAATATTTTTAATGCACAGTCTTATTACTACTGAAACTAAGTTAAAATTCTATCGATACTCAACACCATAATATTAAACAAAAAATAAATTCTGTTAATATAATGAATTGATTTTTATAATAACAGTTAAAATATAATCACCATATCATATCGATCTTGACCTTCGTTGATTAAAATTCCATTTCACCTACTATCATACTAATAAGATACATGCCAAGAGAATATTCTTGTCTCTCACTTAGATTAAATAAATCTAAAAAATAAATTTTCAATATTGATTAATTTGTCATATGAACTTAAAGAGATATATTTGAGAAGAAATGAAAAAATCATCTTACTTCACTTAATTATTACATGAAAATACAATGCAGGGGCGCAAATACTCATACATATTTTGAAATATAAAATTATAAATTAAAAAGTTAGAAAAATTTTTAGATTACTTATTGTTTGTTTGGAGAAGGGTTTTTATTTCAGATAAGTCTGAAGATCACTTTTAAGTCAATTATTTTACAATCAAGGATAGAAATTTCTTTGTTTGTACACTAGCTTACAATTTACTTCTTACTATTGCTTTCTAAAATCTAGATTCTTAACTATTCAATCTGGATACAACATTATAAATGATAGTTAAATCAGATTTGATATACTTTAAATAATAGATTTTGATAACTTAAGGTTTATTCCAAATGTTGAACTCAAAATTAGAAAACTAGTTCTTGATATAAATTTGAACAACTGTGGGCATTGTCGTATGATTTATTAGCCTAGTTTTCTTATGTTCTATGATTATAAACGCTAATTAAACTGTATTGGGATTAAAGAGACTCTCATAAAGCTCTTTAGCGTTTTGATAAACTTCAGCTTTAAATATTTCCTATATCAAAGTTTAGTTAAAGTTGTGAAATTTCTATTCATTAAATTTAATAAAAGTTTATGGTAATTTAACATTACTTAATAATTGTTAGCAGGTCTCTCTCTGCTGTGAATATCATTGTATTGAATTTATCATATTCTATCAATGATTAGACCATCAGTCCATTAACGTCATCTTACAATACTTTTAGCGTCGATTAATATTAGTATATTTATTGTTTGGATCACTTTTCTTTTAGTTGCAAAATTATGATATTATAGTCTCGCATCTCAGCAGTGAGAGCTACATTTAAAGTTAATTATAATTTTTCATTTACTTTCTTGTAGGTATTTACTATTAGAATAGATATAAACATAATATTATTAAAAGTTTCTTCTTTTATTATTCAAATAATCAACTCATCAACTTCAAAAAAGGATCAAGATTTAATATCACTTCATATTTTTTAAAAATTTAATTTTCTAATTACCAAAATAGAATCAAACATCTATGAATGGTTTATTAAATTTACTTATTAAAATTCAATTTTTTACAGAATCTAATCTCTTAGGCTAAGTTATTATATCTAAACTTTCTAGCTCTTTAGAGATAAACCTTTATGCTTGAGTTAATTTCAGATATCCTTATCAGAAAGGAATTTAAAATATGTTCTTCAATGGACTCTGCTATTGGCCTAAAATTATAGATATTCTAGACAAAAATTGAAATTCCCCCAAATATTCTTCCTTCAGAGAAGAATTGAGACTACCTCTCAAACTTCAATCATATCCTCAAGTTTTATTTCTTTTGATCAATGTTACAAGAAGGTTTTTAATGCATCTGCAACTTGCACACTCAAATAAATCTTTCAAAATTTTCTATATGCTACCATAAATCTTCTAACAAACAAATGATCATAGATTTCAGATAGAAACTTCTCCATTTCGCTCTTAATTAATGATTTGCCTTACCCAATCAGTTTGCAAGTAGCTCTACATGAAGACAATCATAGCATCTGAAAACCCCAGTTTGATAAGATAAGGTAAAACATCAAGTAATATAAGTATTTGAATTTAAGGTTATGGAAAAAGATTATACAGTATAATTTGCATAACATGTAAAAAAATTTCTAATTAAGAATTATCAATCTGGAAGCATTTAGACTTAACTTATAATTTATATACTTTAAATCATCATTTGATAGAATCAATAATTTATTGATTAAGAATTCATTATGAATCCTCAATTATAATTTCAATTAAATTATCTTTTCCAAAAATTGATCGACTCCATTTAATTAGCTAAAAAGAGTTTAATAAAAAATTGTTTAAGAAGCAAAATCAAATCCAATTCTAAATTATAGATCATGATCAAACCTTTTCATAAAACGAACAATACCTTGAATAATAATTAATCCAATAATCACAACAATCATCAAAATTAACACTCTAATAACGATAACAAAGTCAAATAATATCTACATCTTAATACAATTTTAAACTATTTACTTATTAGATAATATTAGCTAATTCAATCAAATAAATGGTAAGATATAGAGGAATTTCTTTGAATAAGGATGTTCAATTGTAGCAGTTTGATGTTCTTAACAAATAAAATTATATGAATCCAAATAAGGAATGTTGAAATTAAATCAAGTCTTTTATGAACAAAAATAAAAAGTGATTATTTTAAATTTCATCAAATAATCAAATAAATTGATATCTGATGATTCAGAAATGATTTTGATTTGGTCATTGATTATAATCATTCATGGATTTGCTCATTAACTATTTAGGATATGCTCATTTGATTGGATTAAGAATGAACATCTATTCATATCATATAATTTAAACAAAATTCTAAAATTATTAAAAAAATTAATTTGTAAATTGCCAAGATGATAAATCAATATTAACAATTAAGTAATCAAATACTTATAAAATTGCTGTGAAATAAAATAAATACCAGTTGATCATTATGGATATCATTTATACTTAAGAAGCGATTACCTATTTACATTTCAATAAAAATAAGAGATTTGATGTATGTTTATGAGATTAAATACCATAAATAAATAGTTTGCTATATCAGATGAAATAACAGTGAATAGAGGTTTTAAATAATGGGTATTTATTTCCATAACAATTTATTGATAGATGAGCGATGATGGAGAATATTTGATAACTTGATATTTTAAATCCAGTGAAATATAAATAAGGTTCTTAGAAGAATGAGATAGTTATTATATTTTTATTCTATCTTAAATTCTAATTAATTTCAAAATTACTCAAATTATTTCTTTAATTCAATTTAATAAATAATTCAAAATTAGCTAATTTTGAATCAATATTATTGTTTCGATTAATAAAGAATAGTATATAAAATTCAATCCTTACGAAAAATAATCAATATTCGGTTTACATAATTATAATTTTTCAATTAAAGGCCCATCTAAAAGTTAAATTTATTAAGAAAAATATTTAATGAAGAGTTTTTCACTGTTGGCCAAACACCTAGATCAACTATAATACTATAAAATAAAGATCATAGTCAGTAGACATAATTTTATAAAAACTCTAATGTCTCAATAACCATTTAAAAACGAAGTATATAGAAACATATATATAACTATTCATATTTTTTGAGTAATTATTATTTAATTTAGATGCAATAAATACTAAATACAATTGATAAAGTCGATATTTTTGGGTTTCCTGTAAGTCTTTTAACTCCGGCTAAGGCATCCTTATATCAAAGCAAGCTTGGCGGAATAATTACTATTTTGATTGGAGGGATTAGTATTACATATTTTTTATATTTTATCATTTAATGGATTGATCGTCCAATACCTGCTTCTATTAGTATTAAATAGCAAACTATTTCATATGCTGAATTTTAGTTGTCAGACTCTATTATTTAATTGGAATTATAAGACTTTTCAGGAGATGCTGATCCTTTTAGAAAAGAGCATAATATCATTACTCCTAATTTATATCGAATTTTGAATTCAAAAATAATTGATAAGCCAATCCCTTTATTTAGTAGTGAAGATAGGCCATTTACATTATCAATTGATAAGGGCACAATTGTTTTAAATCATGATTCTGTTGGAATTGATGATCACATTTAAATGACCCAATTGTTGCTCGTTTTAGAAAGCTGTTCTAACTTGACTCCTGTTTCTGGAAGTTATTGTGCTGCTACTATTTCTTAAACAATTATGAGTTAATTCATTAACCTGTTGATTATTTTTTTACTTCTCTTGTAGTTAGCTAATTGTCAAAACAGAAGCATGAATTCAAGAGTTTAGGTTGTTATTTGTTTAGAATTGATAATATTTCAGTTAATGAAAGCATAACATTGCCAAAACTAGGTTAAATTCTAGCTTAAGTTGGATCAATTGTTTAGGTTATATTTTTGTTAAAATATATTGCAATATATTACAATAACATGTTATTGGAAAATGAATTATTGCATGAAATTGTAACCATGTATTATCCAGAGATGAAAAAAAATAAGTTGAACTTATTCAACCAATTTGAATACTAGAACTAGAATAACTTAGAAGAAAATGTGGATAGAACACTTGAAAATTTCAAATATAAATATAAAGCTTTTATTAAAAGAGCTAAAGAAAAATGCAGACCAAATAACATATTATATGAAATTTCAAGGTTATATATAATTTATCATTTAATAATAATTTGGAAATTAAGTTCTGCAGCAGAGTCATTAAATGGGAGGAAAATTATCGAATAATTATTTAGATCATTAATCTAGTAAAGAATCAAATAGATTAACAGTTAAGCCAACCAATTCTATTGAAATAGATAATGACTATGCGTTATTGGAACCTTTAGATATGTTATAAAAATAACCTTGATTAATATATTCATATTTAATTACAATCCAATATCCTTAAATTTCTGAGAAATTTATTAGCAAAGGAAAAACATTTTATTTAATGTGCCTTTTTTTATCAGATATTTTTTCATTTTCAAATTTTACAGATCTGTTTATACATGATCAAAAAGCCTCTAATTAATCTTGACAATAAAACAATATATTAGGATTAAAGAAAATGAATTAAAATAATTCACTTAGAGATAATAATTTTATATTCTAAATGTTTACAATCCATGCTAATTTCAATTCTTGTAGTTTAAATACTTTGCTAACTACATGTATTTAGTCAATATTATTATAATTAGAGAATATTTCTATGTTTTGTATTAATTGATTTCCATAAATTATATTAATCAGCCATTGTTCTTTTACATTAATTAATTTAATAAGGCTACAAATAATACTTGATATAGTCATAAATATTTTAACTTTTTTTTGGCTTATGTCCTCAGATCTATCCAAGACAAAAGATATTCTAGTAAAAGGTGGTTAAGATTACAATTTCTTTCCTTAATAATATCTAAAATCAAAATGTATTCTTGTAAATAAAAACGCTTCCATTGTGAGTTTAATAAGGATCAAACCAAATAATGAGGTTATAATTCAGTAATCTATTGACTTTGAAACGTATTTCACATTTGGATATATGACTGATGATGGGTAGTATTTGATCACATGGGATGATAATTCAAAAGAATATTAGATCAAATAATATTAAAAATTATGAGTTATTAAATTATTGAAAATTAAAATTTTAAAGTAAGAGGACAATTAAATATTTTTGAAAAATCGTTTTAAAAATTATAAACATGCTACTTAAAATGTCCATACTAGTTAAAACCTTGATTATACCGTAATTTAATGTTTATAGAAATTGTAGGTATATGAAATTTACGGAGCATAATTATAATTTCAAGATTATTATTATTTTTATTAAAATAATATGAGCATCCATCAATTTTAGAAGAGAATTTAACTTTGCAAGATATTTCCTTAAAAATAGTACAGTTTCTACCTTTTGAATTAAGATAGTTTATTTTAATGGAAATTGAAAAGATAATAATAAAAATGAGCCTATTTAGAATTACTTTTAAAATACAGCTAAGCTTCTATAAATAAAGAATAAAATTCTATGAAATAATATTAGGATGTTAATGATACTTAATATTTAAATTAATATCATTCCCATAAAAGTTTAAGTTAACTTTAATGTTGATTAATTTTTATTCCTTCTACTTTATATTTCTCATTAGAGAAATCATAAATTAACTAATATTTTCTCGAGCCCTCTATATTTTGACTTAAATATCTCCTTAGATTACCCTATTTGTAAACAACATTATCAAATATTTTTTAACTAAATTAACAATATGAATTCATAATTAAATATGCTCTAAATTATGAATGTAGCAAGATAATTTCTTGCCTTAACTATTTTTTCAATTTGGAAATTTCTAAACAATAATGTTTCTGAAATTCTAAATTCATTTTCTTTTGCATTTAGTTTAGATGATAGGAACTTCAAGAGCTTACTTCAAATTAAATTAGTGAAAATAACAAAGTGTGTGTAAAATTCTCATTTGTTTTCCAAAAAGAATGAAGATGGAGTTTATTAATTAATTAAAGATATTGATAACAATAATATATTCTTGTTTGTAATAGATCCTTGTGTTTACTTCTATATCTAATCATTTTATTCTATATGATGGTTTAAATATTTGTATTTCATTCCATTAATGTTGTAGCCATATTAAATAAAAGGTGCATTTACTGATTTAACTGATAATTACTTTCAAAAAATTCAAAACGTCCAAACTGTAAATTTACTTGTGTAAATTATCCAGATTTTAAAGGGCTGACAGCCAAAATGGTTAATCAATTCCTTAATTGAATAGATCAATTACTAAGATTATTATTACTTTTATAGATATATATCAACCATGGTTTTATTATCATTGCTTAAAATGATTTGTTAAAAATTGGTATCGAGTATCTACAAATGATTACTGATAATGGTCAATAAGATGAAGCAATAATGTCATCAATAGATTCTAACATGTCATCAACTTAACGGCCAGTTAAAATTAATCTTACAATCTAGTCTTCACTTCCTTAATTTTTAGTTGTGCCATTCTCATACTTAAAACCTGATGCAAATAGGTTGGGCCATCAATTCCTATTTATTCAATTAAGTTTTATAGCATTCAATAATTTAATCTAATCCATAGAATTATAAACGAATAAATAATTTAGTCTGATAATTTAGATAATCATTCAAAGAAAAGTGATTTATATTATAATATATTATAGTTTAACATTAAAAACAAACCTATTTATCATCACGCCAATAATCTTTTGTAAATATTATCTAGGTATACCATTTGATAAAAAATGATGTTGTGAATCAGGGTCTTCATTTGATGTATGCTAACAACAGCAATTATTAAGCTCAATTTTTAACCTCTAGCTCGAAATTCAAAAAGTATGATGATATAAATTTAATATGTTATTGATTCTTGAAGATTTATTCAAAACCTGTTATTTAGAATATTTTAGCTGATTACAGGACTCAATTTATCCATTAATAAAAAAAGTAGTTTCTTCTAGATATTTGTAATTACTAAAGTATCATCATATTTAATTCTCTATAAAATTTTCTAAAAGGAGTGACTTTTCCAGCAAAACAAAGGTTTAATAATTAAACAAGAAAAATGGAATTTTTATTCCTTATTATTCCAGCAACTGTTGTTTCTGCTTTACAATAATTTATAATAGCGTACTTCAATACTTCCTCAAAAAGTTTTATCAAGTTCCAAATCGCTTTCGTTTAATCTATTTTAATCCCTTAAACCATTAAATGAAATGATATTAATGTTTTTTCTTTAGGGGGTAACCTGTTAATTTCTCCATAGTATAATTTTATGCTTAAAATATTAAATTAAGTTAATGAACCAAGCTTTAAATAATTACAGGTTGAAGAAACCTATCTGTTAGAACATAAGATATGGTTTATATAATGCAATTATTATAATAATTCAATTTCAAAACAAATGACCTATTGATACAATCTTTACTTTGAAATTCGATCATTCCTCTCAATAATTTAACTTGTAATTTCAGTAATTATTTAGAGATAAGATTGAATTCTTACTCTATTTTTCTAAAAAATGCTTATTAAAATCTCCTCAGAATAAATGGTTATCAGATATTGAAATAGTAAGCAGTCAAAATGATGAGATCCTCAAGATAAAATAAGTTCTCTCTTAAATTCACAATTATTTAATGATGATTATTATAAATCATTACTTAATAAATTGCAGAATAAGCTTTTTAATAACTTCTAAGAAATAAAAAGAGTAAAGAGGGGAATTTGATATCTCTATCTTAGAAGAGTGAATAGAATCACACGTCTAGAAAGTAGAACGTTCCAAAAAAATTTGGTTTGGATCCAAACTTTAAAATTGAATTAAAGACTCTTAGATATGAGATTTCAAAACTAGATTCGTTTCTAGAAGTTAAATAGATTTGCGCTCAATAAGATTTCAAGGGCTGAAAACGCATATCATTCAGTAATCTTTAAGAACCTGTATTAAACTTAGATTTAATTATTACTAAATTAAAGACATAATGTCAAAGTAAAGAAAATAATTTAAAAATTGGGGATGAATAGTAAAACTCAACCCGAAATCTTCAAGAATCTAATAGGTCAAAAAATAATAATAATTAGATATAAAACTAAAAAATACAAACAATTATGAACTTCTAAAATAATGAAGTTTACTTAACAAAAAACAAAAAGTTGATAAAGTTTAAAATCTATTCGAAAAGTTTTGAAATCTAGGAGTGTATGAAGCGCATGAGGAAAATTAACTGAAAAGTTAAAGACAATAAAGTCAAGCTATCCTTCTATTGATTTATAATCATATGAAAAGTGTTGAATAACTATGAATGAAAATACCTAAAAATAAAAAGAATTTTTATAATAGAAAACACATACATTTAATATTTTAATAGAATCAAACCATTTAAGATATCTGAATGCCGGACTTTGGAAACCTTTCTGTTACAAGTATGACAGATAAAAAATGCATTTTTCTTTTGTGTATTTGATTGAATTTCTTAGCAGGGTGTATACAATAGCTACTTACTAAAAAGTTGCTCCCAGTTGATATTAAGATCAAAAAAAAACAAATACAACACTTAATACTTGGTAACTCCATAAATACTAGAGATAATCATTTCTATAAGTGTGAAACTCTTTGGCTACCAAATTTAATTCATCTTTTTCAATTAATAATTGGGTTTTTAGGTGCTAAGAGAAGCTACTAATGGAGCAATGTGTTTTAGTCCTTTTACCAGAGAAACCAATTCTGAAAGTTGATTTTTCTCAAATTGCGGTGATGCATCCGATAAAAATGCATGTGGTACATTTATAGTTCTATGTTTATCTTTCTCCAACAAAGCTATTTTATATAAAATTGTAAGAATGCCTCCTTCTTATATGTCAGTTAAACATTTACTATTTACTCCATCTATTTTATCAAATGGATAATGCAGGATAATTTGACATTTGCCAAAGATTAATATCCACAAAAATATAAATAATAATAATTATGCTAACAAAAATTGTTAAAAAGCACTGTCATAATAATGCATGTTTTTATGTCCACTATCTAGCACTAAATGCTTAGCCTCTGATAATGTTCATTTTTGTGCCCAATGATATATCAGAGGAATTATTTATATAAATCTTTCTTAAAAATTATACGTAAGTGAAGTTGCATCCAATTATGTGAAACATAGTGAAGTTATGTAATTTTTCATTTTCAATATTAACATCTAACTCAACAAACGAAAATTTTGTCCTTATGCGCAGCAAAATTTAAAAGGACAGATTTATAAAAAATTTCAGAATGTATATAAGCTAAAATAGTGATATACAGATGGAACTCATTCCCTAATAGGACAGTAACAGCGATAGAGGATAAGAAAATATATCACTTCCTAATAAATGATATGGATGTTCTACATCATCTCCTACTACAAAAATCTTAGATTGATAACCTTGAAGCGTACTAAAAAGAGAAAAACTAAAATCCGAACTCATTAATTACTTAAAATTAGTTCAGCTGTATTACCGTAGCAAGAAGAAGATAGAAATTAATAGTAACCCAAAGAAATCTAGTTGAAAAAATTGAGTAGAAGGACTTTTCAAACTCATGGGAAATGCACGATAAGAATAAATTATATAAACCCATAGTGTAGGAGAAGAGCCAGATTAAGAATTAGTAAGGAGCCATAGCCAATTTTGAAAAATGAAAATAGATCCATAAAATGGTATAGTGGTGAAAAGGAAAAGTGACGTGGAATTTGAACTGAAAGTGATAGAACATATTGAAGACTACCTCATACCCGCTCAAATCTTACTTTAGGGAGAAAACATAGGTCTAGCGACCTAGTGTCAAAAACAGTATTTCTGAAAGGGTTAAGACCATTTGCAGAAACTTATGGTTGTGGAACTTATATTACGGTGATATGGAACTTCATTACAAAATTGTACAATTACAAAGAGCCGGATTATATGTACTAAAGTATATCAATTTCACTGAAATAAAAAAGAAAATAATCTAAGTTATGGGATTTATGGAACTAAAGAAATGATTGTTTAGAGGCACTTGAAGAAGAAATAATAGGATTGCTTCGATATGAGATTCCCTATTTGAATCCTTTAATATGTATGTATCTGTTAAGGAAAGGGCACTCCTTTTTCAATATTAATGAGGATTTTGTCAGACAATTATAGCATTAGATACTAATATACAATTCTATTTATATTTTGATTAATTGTTAAGGCATCATAATGAATATCTTCAATGACAAAACAATATTCAAATGAACTCTTTGGTGGTAATAGACTTTTCTGTAGCTATGAAAGGTAACAAATTTAGGTTAATTCGAAAAGATTTTAATTTTTCTTCCAATTAATAATTAACTTATAATTATTTAAGAGGGTTGGAGTACTAGCGACACAATTTGTTTGAGAATTGTTCCCAACAATTTTTGGATATCGAAGTTGAAAAGGCTTCTGGTATATTCCCCACTTGCGAAGCTGTTGTTGGATCGTGTGGTATGGAATTAGAATTGCCTCTTGAACGATTACCTAATCAAACTATGGTTTTATCTGTAGGTTGTTTTTCCCAGACAATATTAGCGTATATTATAAGTTGTTTGTTGATAGAACAAGAAATTCTTTCCTAATAGTTGTATTTGAATAATGTTTTTCCTTTTTCTATCAAAGGGGTTTAAATAATATTAGGAGTATACTCTGGGCAACCATCTATACATTGCCCAAAATGGAAATATTTCAAATTTTTACAAATCAGGTAACTTTATTTATTTGTAAACAACTTACAATCGTTTTCACAAGAACTTTAAATATCAAAAATACCAATAATAATCTTACACATTTCTTCAATACATAAATAATCATCATCATAACCAAAATTGTTTATAAGTTTTCTTTACTACCTCTGGAAATTTATAAAAAAGAAGTTTTAGGTATAATCTTACATGAATTACATGAACTATCAGCGTTCTTTAAATACCAATATAAAAGTTTAACATTGATATTCATTCTCCTTCACCTGAACATGCTAGACAGAGTTTATAAAATCTATGGGAGAATATTCCCAATTTATACCAATTAATTTTATAGCTTTCAACTAAACTGACCAAATATTAATATAAAAACCAAAAAGTTTTGTCATAAATCTCAAAGTAGTTCCTCATAGGCATAAAGCAAAGTAACACTAAATTATATCAATTAAAACTGTAAAATATAGTTACCATATTATAAAATATTGCTGTGGACATTATTTATAGCCAAATTTTTCAGGAGTTCTAAATTTTTACAAAATCAAGATATCAAATCTCAAGGTTAACTCAACTAATTTAATATGCTTGGAATTTCATGGCTACTTCTTTCATTATATCTGTAGCAGTAATTACTGTCTACTGTTCCTCTTCATTATTTTTTAATACTTACACCAAATTCCAACTTAGATGCTCCAATAATCTATATTTATCATATGATTTTCTTTCACTCTATAAGATCTTATGAATTATGTTTAATAGTATTTTATTCCAATCGTTTTTATAGATATTAAAACTTCGTTGTAATTTATACACCTTATTTAAATTGTTCTTTTTTCTTTTTTGAAGATGGGGGAATATTGTTATTGATTTTGTTTTAAAACTACAATTACAGAGTTATATTCAAAATAAGTTCATTTTATTTAAATATTTTTCATTATTTAATTCTTTCTTATATTTCTTCTCAAAATTCATATTTGTTTTATAGCATTTTTAATTGTATTTTCCTAAAATAATTATTACCTTTCAGTGTTTATTACCAGTTTAACAATTCGCTCTTTTATCCGTTTAAATTTTGATTTCATTCTTTTCCCTGCTTATCTTATTCCTATTTATTTCAACTTTCTATCGATTTATTAAGATATAAAATTAATGTTTACATTGCTATTCAAGATTATACGTTTTATCACCTTCGTATTTAGTGTTGTATTTTCTCAATTATTGAATATGGATCATGGTTTTCTTTAAATTACTTTTAGATGCCTTCTTTTACAAATAAAACTATTATATATTTTCTGATTGGATCAACCGTTTTGATTGGTTATCATTTTTTCTTTAAATGCATAAGCTTGAGGCATCCTAAATCAAATCATCCACAATCCGAAACCATCACAACAAAGAAATAAATGAAATGAAAAAAATAATGTATGATTGATTATATGCTTTCTGAATAATTATCAAATTATATTTTATCTTTCTCTGTCCAAGAAATAGCCACCCCTTTGCTTTATTAGTAAACTTAAATCTATTCCTGATTAGGTTGTAAATTATCCATTGAAAATTTTAGCTCCTTTTGCCTAAAATATAAGTTATTTAGAGATAAGGAGAATTGTAACGTTAGAAACAGCTAAATTATAATTAGAAATATCTACTATTTTGTAGTAATGGAGTATTTTAAAGAGCCATTTAAAATTCAGCGTGAATATCAGTATAATTATTTTCTGAAGTAAAGATTTAATGTCCTTCCTTAACATTCCATAAACGAATAGAACAATCTTCACTATTACAAGGCATACCACTACCTGATGCTAATGTATAACCATCAGGTGAGAAACATACTGAGTTTACACAACTATAATGATCGTTCAATTTGGTTTTTAATGATCCTGTCTTAACATTCCATAAGCAGATAGAGGGTTGTCCTCCACTATAAGGATTACCACTACCGGATGCTAATGTATCACCATCAGGTGAGAAGCAAACTGATTTTACGCAGCTATCACTAAAATCTAATTTTCTTTTTTATTTTCCTGTCCTAACCTCCCATAAACGGATGGACTTATCATCACTACCAGATGCTAGTATTGTACCATCAGGAGAGAAGCACACTGATTGGACATTATCACTATGACCATTTAATTTATATTTTAATCCTCCTTTGTTCACATTCCACAAACAAATTGACTTATCATTACTACCAGATGCTAATGTAGTGCCATCTGTAGAAAAACAAATTGAATTGACACACCCAACATGACCACACAATTTCAATTATAATTTTCTTGTAAAAACCTTCCATAATTGGATAGAATTATTATAACAACCAGTTGCTAATGTTTTACCATCAAGAGAGAACATTACTGATCGACTAAGACTTTTTTAGTTTGATATTATTTGTCCTGTCTTAACATCCCATAAACGGATATACTTATCAACACTAGCAGATGCTAATATTGTACCATCAGGAGAGAACGACACTGATAGGACCTTATCATTATGACCATTTAATTTATTTTTTAATCGTCCTGTGTTTACATCCCACAAAAAAATTGATTTATCATCGCTACCAGATGCCAATATTGTCCCTTTAGGAGAGAAACAAGTTGATGAGACACGTTTAGAATGACCATCTAATGCTGATTTTTATAGACCTGTTTTAACATCCCACAAGTTGATAGACTAATCAAAGCTACCAGATGCGAATATATTACCATCTGGAGAAAAGCAAACTGTTGTAACCCAACTACTATGGCTGTATAACATAGATTTTTTTTGGCCTTTCTTCACATCCCATAAACCTATAGAATCATCTTTACTCCCAGATGCTAATGTAAAACCATCTTGAGAAAAGCATACTGACTAAACCCAGCTGCTATGGCCGTTAAATATAAATATTATTTTTTCTATGTTGACATCCCATAAACAGATGGAACCGTCTCCACAGCCAGATGCTAGTTTAGAACCATCAGGTGAAAAGCATACTGAAATAACAGGAGAATGCACAATTAATATAGATTTATACTTTCTTGTGTTAATATCCCACAGAAGGATGGAGTTATCTAAACCACCAGATGCTAATGTAATACCATCAGGAGAGAAGCATATAGATTTGACATCATTAGAGTGACCATCAAATTTTGATTGTTATTGTCCTGTCATAGCATGCCATAAATACACACACTCACTACTACTAGATGCTAATGTAGTACCGTCAGGAGAGAAACAAATAGAATCGACATTATTAGCGTGGCCATAAATTTTTATCTTTTTTTGTCCTGTCTTAACATCCCATAAACAGATAGCTTTATCACTGCCAGATGCTAACGTAGTGCCATTAGGAGAGAAGCATACTGATCTGACATACTTACAACTATTATCGAATAATGCATTCTATCTTCCTTTCTATGCATTCCATAAATGGATTGAACCATCACCACAACCACATGCTAATGTAGTACTATCAGGAGAGAAGCATATTGAGTAGATCACACCACCATTACCCTATAATTTATGCAATTCATGTATTCTTATATTTTTCCATATACAATTGAATAATTATGCCTCATTCAAATTCATTCCGCTTATACAAACATTTTCAAATTATGATCCGCTCAAATTGCATCTAAAAAAATTAGCTCCAATCAAAGAAGTGTTTTTAATCTTAATATTTTCTAAGCTTTATTTCGTAAGATCGATCTTCATTTCAATTAATAAGTGTAATGAATTAGATCCACATTAAATGAATTTGTTATCTATAGCAGTAAGATGAACTAAAAATTTCAAAAATTTGATGAACCTCAAATCCTCTTTTATCAAATCTTCCCTTGTTTATAAATAGATTTCGTTGGAATAATCATTTTCATTAAAATCATGATCTCTAATTTATTTAAGAGTATTTGTAATTAACTATATACATTCTCTAATGAAATTTTAATTTCTTTTAAAATCCACCAATGATAAATTCTCTCTTTGTAAAATGTATTATTCACACTACTTTCGATTTTCATCAAGTTATAGATATTCTAATGCATCAGAAATTTTTTCGTTTCTAAAAATTTCAATAATCACACTGAATATTATTTCATCAACAATTTTAACATTAGTGAAAATATCATATAAATCTATTCGCTATTCTTTTGGAAATTACATTTATTTTTTTTAATCTGAATTTCTATTACTTTTTTTAATACTTTTAAACTTATGTATTTTTTTTAAATGATAGACCAGACTTTTTTTAGTTTTGGGATATTAGGCTATTATCAATTTGAGTTCAACTATTTATATCTTTTTCCTAAAGTATATGAGATGATTACTTTACTGTAATATTAAAACTATTAATATTTGTTTTTATAGATTAAATTCTACTTTCTCTCTACTATTGATCTTATTAACAAATCCAATTCAGTCTTAAAAAATTGTAAAATTTCTCAAATAATTGAAAAAATGATAAAGAAAATTTATGAAATAATTTAAGATAAGAATTAGTATTTAATAATATTATGATAGGATTGATGTTTTTCATGATATTAACATTAAAAGGGAAAATTATTAACACTAATTATAAGATTTTGAAAGAAAAAGATTGGTATATTTTCTATACTGTAGGAGGCAAATTCTATTGTCTAAAGAGTAACATAAACTGTTATTTTTGAAAATCAATGGTAGAATGCTATGGAGTTGAAGAAAGTTAACATATATATCAAATACCTAAATATGTATAAAAAAATTATTACTTAAAACTAAAATAAATACCATCCAACTCTTTCACATTATAAAAGACATAACTGAGAAATACGTTTATAAAAATATATTCTAATATTTATTATACAATCAATGAATTGCCCCACTACTTTAGAAGGATTTAAGTTTAAAGAAGTTTATGCTTTAATATTATTTTGGCATTCATAGAAGATAAAAATGCTAAATAATTTTGTAAAGTTTATTTTTCCACTTGTTTGAATTCTGTTAACATATTATAACTTAGATATTACCATTTTCGCTATAGAATAAATTTCTCAATTGAATAAACTTAAATTATTAATGATAATTTTCATAGAATGAACAATATATCTTTGAGTTGAACTTTAGATAGTACTTTTAAAAAGATAAATCATTAATGGAAGTAAGGAGGCACTTAAAATTTATTTAAAAGAATAAACTGATTTTCTTTTCCGATAATCTGATAAATTTTGAGAAATCTATCTATAAGATTATAGTTATTTTTCTACACTCTTCACGTTCTTAATTTTAAGTTATCTGCAACCTTGAGTAAGAACTTTATAACCTTTCTGTCTAGGTTTTTTTAGAATTTTTCCTTAATTAAAAAGTCTTATTCTAAATGATTTCGCATATCAAACTAAAAATTTTTGATGGATGAAAATATAGATGAATATATATTAGGATTTACTTTTATAATTAGAAATTTGATTATTTCAATAAGCAAAAATTATTTTTTAAATAAATATTTCGAAACGATTTAAATAAATAATTATTTTTTGTTGTTTTTGAATAATTTTAGAATCCAAAAAAAAAACAGCTAAAAAAATATAAATTATAGATTTGATTCTCTCATAATAAACTTCCAACTTTATTTTTATAATAGTGCAATAAGGTTGAGATAAATTGCATAATTTAATTTCAATACATTATTAATAATTATCAAATAACTAAATAGTAGCCCAGTGAGTAACATTAGTATTTATTTGCATTTCTATATGATAGTTGCCATTTTTTTATTAGAATAAATTATTATAATAAGATATATATAGGACAGATCCAAGAACTAGTAAGATGGACAGGTTATTAATTAAGGATAGTTTTAAAACATAAGGATATATTATTAAATAGTACTGATACTTAGTTATTTTTAATCAAAAAATGTATTCCTAAGCAAATCCCTGCTGAGTCAACGACAACACCCACCAAAAAGATTATTTTACTCATTATAAGATACTGAAAATTTTAATTATGACTAGTGTTTTAGAAAGTATAGAGAACAACGATAAGAGTAATAGTAATTTGATAAATCTGTTTAAATTATCTTGAATTAAACCTAAGAGACTTTTGATTAGTTAAAGAGCATTGCTGATCACCATGGCTAAAAACGAAATGTCAAATATCCAAACAAAATAATTTTATTGACTTAATTTACTGAATCATCATTATCTCAATCGACCCATTAAAATTTTGATATTACATTTTTACATTCCTTTTGTTTCTGAATCTCAATAATAAGAATCCCATCTGCCAATTTTTTTTCTTTAATACTCACCTTTAAAATGATTTTCCAAAATTCAAAATTTAATCACTCAAGTCAATTCATACCCAAATCTTAATTTAAACTATTTTCAACTACCAAAATTTTTAGTATCTTAGTATTCACAAATAGTAGATATTTACCAACTCACTCATCACTTAATTCAATCTTAATTTAATTTCCTGTAATTTCATCCTTCCACTTTATCATTATAAAAGCACTTGGATTATGAGTGTATGATTACTCGTAATTATGGATAGAAAAATAACAATAATTTCTTACTTTATCTAATTTTATTTTATAAAACAAATTAAGAAAAAATAATAATAATTAATACAACATTCATGGAGACATTATTTGGATTATTTCTATTGTCAAGTCAAAGTCAATTAATTTTAAAGATGTATTTTCAATATGGTTCATATCCAGTATTTTTCTAAGAAAAAAAAAAAGAAATCTTTTACTAAATCTTAATAACTATGATCACTATTTTACCTATAAGGTTTAAGTATAATAAAATAATTTGCTCAATAAATTACTTAACTCTAAAAGTTGAATAACGAAATATTATTTAATCATTTTTATTAATATTTTTGTATATTATCTTATGATTGTGTGGTACCATAACTTATTATTAAATTAATAAGATTATCAGAAAGTTAGAATTTAATTAATCTCATTTTATATTCAAAGTTTAATTTATTCACCTCCCTAACATTCTTGATGCTAATGATATCAAAATAGTTATTTGATATATGCACTTAATTTATAAATTAGAGCAAGAAAGGGAAACAAGTCTCAGGACTATTTCATTAGGTTAAGAAAATTAAATAAAATATAATTTCATGATAATTGGAGGATTAGCAATTAAATAAAACAAAAAATTTATTTCGAAGAGATTATAAAGAATAAATATTGTACCTGTAAATCAAGTTAACTAGAAAGTGAATAATTTGCATTTATATGAATTAAATCATACCTTACTAATTTACCCATACTTGTAAAGCAAATACTAGTATCTAGAATCAATGCTTCAAATTTTAACACTCTCAATACTAAAAGATATACGAACATCAGTTTTAATCGAAATTTAGCACTGAGCTAATCGCATTAAACAATGAGTTTACTACTCTCTATTTTATCTAAGACCACAAATTTCCTTTATTGTAGACAATTCAAAAAATCATTTCCTTCTCAAGATATTAACTAAAAAATATCTATGGAATGAAAATGNATCTGTTATGGCTAAAAACGAAATGTCAAATATCCAAACAAAATAATTTTATTGACTTAATTTACTGAATCATCATTATCTCAATCGACCCATTAAAATTTTGATAATACATTTTTACATTCCTTTTGTTTCTGAATCTCAATAATAATAATCCATCTGCCAATTTTTTTACTTTAAAACTCACCTTTAAAAATGATTTTCCAAAATTCAAAAGATTAATCACTCAAGTCAATTCATACCCAAATCTTAATTTGAACTATTTTCAACTACCAACATTTTTAGTATCTTAGTATTCACAAATAGTAGATATTTACCAACTCACTCATCACTTAATTCAATCTTAATTTAATTTACTGTAATTTCATCCTTCTACTTTATCATTATAAAAGCACTTGGATCATGAGTCTATTATTACTCGTAATTATGGATAGAAAAATAACAATAATTTCTTACTTTATCTAATTTTATTTTGAAAAAATAATAATAATTAATACAACATTCATGGAGACATTATTTGGATTATTTCTGTTGTCAAGTCAAAGTCAATTAATTTTAAAGATGTATTTTCAAAATGTTTCATTCCCAGTATTCTAAGAAAAAAAAAAAAATCTTTTTATCAATCTTAATGAACCATGAACACTACTTTTACTTAAAAGATTTAAGTAGAATAAAATAATTTTTGCTCAATGAATTACTTAGCTCTAAAAATTGAATAACGAAATATTATTTAATCATTTTTATTAATATTTTTGTATATTATCTTATGATTGTGTGGTTCCATAACTTATTATTAAATTAATAAGATTATCAGAAAGTTAGAATTTAATTAATCTCATTCTATATTCAAAGTGTAATTTATTTACCTCTCCCTCACATTCTTGATGCTAATGATATCAAAATAGTTATTTGATATATGCACTTAATTTAGAAATTAGAGCAAGAAAGGGAAACCAGTCTCAGGGCTATTTCATTAGGTTAAAGAAAATTAAATAAAATATAATTTCATGATAATTGGAGGATTAGCAATTAAATGAAACAAAAAGGTTATTTCGAAGAGATTATAAAGAATAAATGTTGAACCTGTAAATCAAGTTAACTAGAAAGTGAATAATTTGCATTTATATGAATTAAATCATAGCTTACTAATTTACCCATACTTGTAAAGCAAATACTAGTATCTAGAATAAATGTTTCAAATTTTAACACTCTCAATACTAAAAGATATACGAACATCAGTTTTCATCGAAATTTATCACTGAGCTAATCGCATTAAACAATGAGTTTACTACTCTCTTTTTTCTTTAAGACCACAAAATTCCTTTATTGTGCCAATTAAAAAATCATTTCCTTCTTATTTTATCAAGATATTAACTAAAAAATATCTATGGAATGAAAATGGTATAATTAATAATCTGTCAACTTAATCAGTATTTTTATAGTCTTAGAATTAACTGTTGTGCAATTTGTAGTCACATTAAGGAATTATTTTGATAACTATACTTGTTTCATACTCAATTAGGTTGTTAAGGCTATTTTAGATTGATTATTAAGAAAATTGTACAATAATCAAGATTTGCTTTAATTAATTAGAAACTTAAATAGCTTGTAATGTTGAATACTTGGATATCCTAGTCATATACAAGTATAATAAATATATTAGATTAGATCTATTATGGAGTATTACTTAATTAATGAAACCACACTTATAATGCTGGAATTCATTATTAAAAATTGCTTTAAGCTTGATTTAAAGCCAATCATTCGATCCTATAAATGTTTTAAAATAACATTCAAAAGAAAGACCTAAGTGAAATTATGAAGAGGGCATCCTTAGCATGTGGAAATTAGAGGATCAAAATTGCGTATATATTTAAAATATTCCAACGAAATGAACATCGAGAAATGAGTCAAACTCAAATCATTATAGTGATGTTATGATATATCTTATTAAATACGGTTATATTGAACAATATTAAAAACTAGTCCCGTCTATTTGACCTGCTGTTATGCAAAATGAAATTAAAGATTAATAATTGCTTATGAAAATTTTTTCGAAAAAAAAATTTAATCGTCCCAATCATAAAATAGTGAGTTGATCAGCAATATATGAAAAGAAAATAATACTCGAAATTGCCATATCATCCTTACCATTTAACTAAATGTTTACAAAATGACCCCCAGATAGTATATGTTGAGAAGAGTCATAAAATATATGAATCATTGGAGTTTTTTTTAATTGCATTATCATACTATTCCAATGCTTCCTCAAATCTATTCATATCAAATAAAACATTAGCTAAGTTGAATGCTTTTAAATTGAATACCTTTTGCAACATAATTATCTGAATCTTATGGGTTTAATTGGACTGCTTAATTACATTAATATAATGCGTCTTCAAATCTATTGATTTTTTATAAAGTGTTAGCTATGATTACAGTAGTATCAATAAATACTTTTATAAAAGAAGTATTTAGAATTTTCAGGATTTTATTAAAGAGGATAATATTATTAATTTAATGCTTTTTCAAATTTATTTAGTTTTTGTAATGATTCAGCTACAAAATTGAATATTGTTGCTAAATGATACCTTTGTTTATAAAATATCTTGATTCTTCTAAATCTTTCTGAACAGCATAGTCATAATATTCTAATGCCTCTTCATACCTACTCATTTGTTCTTAAAGTAACAGCTAACATTTAATATTAGATTTTAATACCTTTATTAAAAAAATATGTTGAAATTTCTCGATCTTATTAAATAGCTTAATTATACTACTACAAAGCCTCCTCAAATCTTCTCATTTTATGTAAAGTTAATACCTTTATTAGCATAATTATCTGAAATTCTGGATTTATTTCAATAGCATAACCATAACACTATAATGCATCCTCAAATCTAGTCATTCTACATAAAGTAAAAGATAAAATTTAATAATATTTCTTCGATACCTTTATTAACATAATGATCAGTGAGATCAGGGTCGTATTAGATGGCAAAATCATAATACTCTAAAGCCTCTTCGAATCTATTTAAATCATTTAAAGTATTTGCTATAATTTTTAAGATTAATTTTTCATACCTTTAGCAGCATAATTAATTAAGAATCTTATTATACATAAGTCTATGTAAGTTTTTCCTAGTATAATTTAAATCAACCTAAATCTTTGCAATATTGCATTTCTTCCAAACAATAATGTGCAAGATACATTTTTTATTCATAGTATAAAGCTCAATATAAAGTATTAGAAATTCAATATTATTTAAAAAAAAGGTAAATGCACAACGAATAATAGTAAGTTGGAGAGTTGTATCGGGTTTTGGCCTTATCCAATGAGGTTGATGAAGTAGTCCTCCCTATCCTAATAAACATATTAAAAAAAGAAAGAATTTAAGACTGCTTAAAATTTCTGTCATAAGATCAAAATAAATTCCTTTTAGAAATAGAAAGATAAAACGTCGAAAATTTATCTCTGCTTGGTTAAGAATGGACTCTTGATGGAGAGAAAAACATTAAAAAAATAACAGATGCCCTCAAAAAAATTAGTGATCATGACATTAATAAACATAATTACTCCATGGATGATTATGAAGAAATTAAAAAGGATCTGATCATAAAAATATCATGTGGTAAGAAAATAATAGAATTTCTCAAATTCTTGGTCCATCTGACTGCCTTAGATGAGAGATACAATAAGTGTGGATCAAATTCTCTTCATTTGCTAGTTTAGATGAAAGTGGATTTGAGGGAATAAAGTTTTGAGAATATCAGGATTAGAGATACTTCTTTATTTGGTGGAAATTTTGCACGATGCAATTTCAATGGATCAGAATTTCACAATGTAGATATTAGTGGAATAAATTTGAATTAAGCTTAATTGTTTAATTGTAAATGGAAAAATATCAAAATTCATGAGTTAAATAAATTAGAAGCTCATAGTGGTAGTGTCAATTAGGTATACTTTTCTCTAGATGGTAAATCATTAGCTTCTTGTTGAGATGTTAATTCAATTTTATTGTGGGATGTTAAAACAGGAAAAATAAAGTCTAGAATCAAGGTAAAGGGAGAAGTAAAATAAATATGCTTATCACCTAATAATAGTACATTAGCTTTCAGAAGTGGGGAATTTGTGTATTTATGGAATCTTAAAACAGGAAAAAAAATTTCTAAATTGATTGGTCATTCATCAACTGTAAATTCAGTCAATTACTCTCCTGATGGTATTACATTAGCATCTGGTAGTGATGATAAGTCTATCCGTTTATGGGATGTTAAGACAGGATAATAAAAAGCCAAATTAGATGGTCATTCATCAAAAGTTTTTTCAATTTGTTACTCTCCTGATGGTACAACATTAGCATCTGGTGGCGGGAAGATAAATGGTGGTGGAGATTACTCTATCCGTTTATGGGATGTTAAGACAGGATAATAAAAAGCCAAATTGGATGGTCATTCATCAAAAGTTTTTTCAATTTGTTACTCTCCTGATGGTACAACATTAGCATCTGGTGGCGGGAAGATAAATGGTGGTGGAGATTACTCTATCCGTTTATGGGATGTTAAGACAGGATAATAAAAAGCCAAATTGGATGGTCATTCATCAAAAGTTTTTTCAATTTGTTACTCTCCTGATGGTACAACATTAGCATCTGGTGGCGGGAAGATAAATGGTGGTGGAGATTACTCTATCCGTTTATGGGATGTTAAGACAGGATAATAAAAAGCCAAATTGGATGGTCATTCATCAAAAGTTTTTTCAATTTGTTACTCTCCTGATGGTACAACATTAGCATCTGGTGGCGGGAAGATAAATGGTGGTGGAGATTACTCTATCCGTTTATGGGATGTTAAGACAGGATAATAAAAAGCCAAATTGGATGGTCATTCATCAAAAGTTTTTTCAATTTGTTACTCTCCTGATGGTACAACATTAGCATCTGGTGGCGGGAAGATAAATGGTGGTGGAGATTACTCTATCCGTTTATGGGATGTTAAGACAGGATAATAAAAAGCCAAATTGGATGGTCATTCATCAAAAGTTTTTTCAATTTGTTACTCTCCTGATGGTACAACATTAGCATCTGGTGGCGGGAAGATAAATGGTGGTGGAGATTACTCTATCCGTTTATGGGATGTTAAGACAGGATAATAAAAAGCCAAATTAGATGGTCATTC